AATTGAATAAGGGTTGAGAAAAAAACTTACATTGTGGATACTTTGGCCATGCAAGATATTAGATGGCATGTTTGTAAACCAATTTAAAAAAAAACATTTTAGCAATTTTGCATTCAATCTGTCTTATTTTTCATAATCCAGTCAGCTCCCATAAGTCCATGAGTTTAGAAATAGAAGATCCATAGATGACCATTTGAGCTCATTGTTAGCCATTGTCATGGCTCTGACAGACAGAAGCATTTCAATTCATCTCTTTTGAGTTTCTCCCACCTTAATGGTCATATAAGTGCTAAGGGTCTATAGTTCAAACTGTTCAGGAGTGGAGATCTTTACGAGCAGGATGGCTTACATACAATAAATCAATGAAGATCAAGTTCATCTCTTGAAGAGTGTTTACGCGTGTGTCTGTGGCCTTCTAATATTCCACTCTAATCCATATTAACCAGAGATAGTTCTGCAAATTGGCTGTATAATTCAATCATAAAAACCTCTCAGTAGTAGTATTTTAGTGTGTATGTGTGTGATTTTATAGTCCAAGAAGGTCTGAAAGTCAAGGCAACATAACAAATTATGATTAATAGCACAAAGACACCCAGTGTTTCTATGACCCTCTATTAGTCACAAAGAATCGCCCAATCTGCACAATCTGTCATAAACAGTCCTCAGACAGCAACACAAACACATGAGACTCACGTCCACCTTTTACGAGCATAACAGCAAAGATTGTCCCTCTTTCAGTTTGCCAAAACATTCCAATGATTCTAGTCAGTCTACACTACCGTTCAAAGGTTTTAGGCTCGTACTTTTTTTTTTTTTTTTTAAAGAAGTCTCTTATGCTCACCAAAGCTGTATTTATTTGATCAGATAGACAGTACAAACAGTAATATTGTGAAATAGTATTATTTTTAATTTAAAATAACTTTTTTAATATTTAAAACGCAATTCAGTTCTGACGCTCAATTTTCAGCACTCATTACTGCAGTCTTCAGTGTCACATTATCCTTCAGTAATCAATCTAATATGGTGACTGGTGCTCAAGACACATTTGCCAATCCTTGCTGAATAAAAGTATTCATATCTTGGAAAAAAAAAAAGAAATAAACATATTACCCCAAACAGTACTGTAGTTAGGGCTGCACGATAAATCGCATGCGATTTAAATATCGCATGCGATTTATCGTGCAGCCCTAACTGTAGTGTATAAACACATGCACAAACACTAAACTTCAACTTCTGATCTGAAAACCACAGATCATGAACAACAAGTGAAAACTAGTTGAAAGGTAAAGGTGTACCACTGGAGTGGAAAGACATATTACCATCTTGAACTTCCTCACACTAGTCGAGCTACATAACAGCACTGCACTTGAGCACCGTCCAAGAGAGTGACTTAACACACGCGTGTTCGCTTAGTGTACACACACCGAATCACAGCCCAGCCAAAAGTAACACTTTCTCTTAAAGTAAACAGGACAGATGCTCATCCTCCTGCTTCAAAAGTGAGAGAGCGAGACTCAGTGACCCCCACTAATACACTGCATACCAGTCCCCTCTCTCTCTCTGGTCTGGAGTTTAAGTCCTGAAATGTCCTGATATTTCACTAACACCTACTAAGCACCATCACCCTGACACTCTGGACCAGAACAATACTGTCAAACAAATTACAAACACAACAAAAACCAATTACACCACCATTCAAAAGTTTGGGGTCATTACATTATTTTTTGAAGAAATTACAAAATTTTATTCAGCAAGGATGCATTACATTTATCAAAAGTAAAAGTAAAGACATGTATAATGTTTCAAAAGATTTCTATTTCAAACAATTGCTGTTCTTTTGAAATATTAAGCAACAACTTTGATAATAAGCTGAAAATTCAGCCTTTTCGAGAACAAATACATTTTAAAATATATTAAAGTGAAAAAAGGTATAGTAATAATAGTCCATAATATAACTGTTTTTACTGTCATTTTGAACAAATAAATGCAGACTGTGTGAGCATAAGAGACATGTAGACAAACTGTGTCCACACTGCCATCAAACCAAACCCAAGACAGAACTGCGCTTTCTGACAAAATACACAGATATCCGGGAAAGTTGATCATGAAATTAGATACACTGATGCACCACACATTTAATAATGTACTAAACAATGAAACTGTGTCTTATGAGGGGAACACTAATAAGGACTGTGCCAGCATGAGCCTGTCACAGTATGAGGGTCAGTGAGTGATCTGACTGGAGTCTGTGTCTCCATCACTAAACACAAGCTCATTATTACTGTTTTTGGCACAATTAGTCTTATTCTTCATTCTTTCTTAATGACTTGTTCAAGCAATATTACGTCTTTACCCACTTTTGCTTTATTTCATTATATTTTAGCTTATTTTGCACTATCAATTTTTTATTTGTTAATATTACTCGATTTTTTGCACTGTTTTTTTTAACTATTTGATAATAATTTCTCGTTCTATGCAGCTGCAAATGCTCTGGCAATACCATAATGAAACACTGAAATTGAAGATTGAAGAGAGAGTGTGTTTCTGTGGCCAAAACAAATATTACTCTGTGTACTCTCCTGCAGAGAATAACTGTTTTCCTTTGCCTGGCTTTATGAGCGCAGCACATCCCTGGCTGGCCATAGCTCATTTGTGACCCTGGACAACAAAACCAGTCTTAAGTCGCTGGGGTATATTTGTAGCAATAGCCAAAAATACATTGTATGGGTCAAAATGATTGATTTTTCTTTTATGCCAAAAATCATTAGGACATTAAGTAAAGATCATGTTCCATGAAGATATTTTGTAAATTTCCTACTGTAAATATATCAAAACTTAATTTTTGATTAGTAATATGCATTGCTAAGAACTTCATTTGGACAACTTTAAAGCCAATTTTCTCAATATTTAGATTTTTTTGCACCCTCAGATTCCAGATTTTCAAATAGTTGTATCTCAGCCAAAAAAAAAAAAAGGAGGGTTTGTCCTATCCTAACAAACCATACATCAATGGAAAGCTTATTTATTCAGCTTTCAGATGATGTATAAATCTCAATTTCGAAAAATTGACCCTTATGACTAGTTTTGTGGTCCAGGGTCACATTTGTTCAATCATTTCCCACAATACATCCAGAACATCTACTCTGCAAAAAATTCGCCATGTATATACGCACAATGCCAATGACATGTCAACAGTTAGATTTTCTGCTCTGGCAGTAAGGAAGTCCGCTGTTGTCCCCCATTTAACTTGATTCAGGAATGTAGACTGAGGTTTAAAATATGCTGAAATAAGGAATTCAGATCTCTCTACATGCACATGTGGCCATAACATTACAAAGCTACTGCTGTGGACAAGACTGGATCTATGTACTGTGTTTTGGGGAGTTTAAGAGCTGACTGGCAACCATGGGTGCTCCTGGTGAAGGTGTTGATGGTAAAGGGTGAGGCTTGAGCAGATGACAGATGAAAGTGGTTAAGAACCCACTTAACAGCCACTTGGAAAAAGCTGAAGTGTACCTCAAGAATGCATCACTGTATTTGTTTAAAGAAATAGTTCACCTTTAAAAATTAAAATGTAGCCATCATATACTGACTCTCTTGCTGTTACAACAATGTATGATTTTCTTTTAATCTGTGGCACACAAAAAAGGAGATGTTAGGCAGAAATACCATGAGGGGGGAGTAAATGATGACAATGTTCGGTTTTGGTTGAACTTCCCGTTCCAATAAGTTGTAATTTTGGTTCACTGTTCAGACAATAACTGACTGGTTTCCATCTTTCCATCTATGGAAACTTAACCCTGTAAAGTCTGACATATGAAATAGGCTACTAGTCAGAATTTTCTACTTGCATTAAATGCATAATATCAGTTGACACCCTATAAATCCCAATAATATGTCTATAGCTCTTTAGTTTTAAGTATAGCTCTTTCACTACAGCTCTTTAGTTTTAACTGTTGCAAGTTGCAAGATTGTTTGAAAGAGTTTTTTTCATCAAAGATTTGATAATTTTGACAAAAAGGCCTAAGAAATCTGTGTGTCAAATATGATACAGTAGCCTTTATAGTGTTAAGATGACCTGACAGATTATAGATGAATTGAAGGTAAGTATAGACGGCTGATCCATGTGCACATTACATCATTAAAATGATTAAGAAGAGCACTGGCCTCTTTCAAAAACACACTAGCAGAATGAAAGCTTGACTGCTCATGGTAATGTTATTTTCAATAACATTCATAGCAACACAATGACACAGACTGCTCTTTATGACAGCACACGATGACCCATGTGCTCTGCATCTCTCTTGCTCTCACAGCCCTTCTGCAAATTCTCACACTTTACACCAGTGATTGTTTTTTTCTTTGTCCCAATGGAACATGGCATTAACCTGCCTATTACAAACATTTCAACAATAATTAAACAAAAAAGACAAATGCATAAAGACTGAATAAGAAAAACAAACAGTTCTTCATTCTATATTATAAGTTAAAGGCATTGTTCATCAAGAATGAAAATTATGTCATCATGTAGCTACTACACAAGCTTTTGTTGTTCCAAAACGGCATGACTTCGCCCAGTCCCCATTCACTTTCATTTGGTGGGGGAAAAAAAGATGCATCTAAAGTGAATGGTGACTGAGACTGTCCGCCAAACATCCCACTGTGGTTTTCATCACACAGGTTTGTAACAGGTTTGTGAGGGTGAGTCTAAGACGACTTAAGTAAACTGTCTCTTTAAACTAACTCTTCGGATATGTAAATATCCCCCAACAGCCTCACAACCCAAACCTGTCTGATCTCAGACGTTTTCGTTTGCGTAAAGGTGAGGACGCAAAAAAGCAAACCTGTCCAAACACGCCTAAACAAGAAAACGCGCAGAAACCTCAGACAAATTCAACATCTGCCTCGGCTACACACAACGGAAATGTTGGACACTTTGATGCCGTGACGAGACAGCAGTCGGTACAAGTCTCCAAACACACGGGGAAAGCGAATCTTACCGAGATACTGCCTGATCTCCAGCAGAACTTTAGGGGGTCCTCCGTTCAGCTGGTAAAACAGTGAGCCGAGACAGAAGAGCAGCAGTGTGGCCATGCAGAAACCATAATCGCGCAGAGAGAAGCGAAGCCCGAGAGCCAAGAACCAGAATCTCTTCCTGCTGTTCCGATCCGTGCTGTGACTCGCGCTGTGATTGTTTAGACGGGGACTGCTGCTGTAATTCTTCATCGTCTCCTCACATGGAAGCGCCGAGAATGGTCGTCACCCATCCGCCTCTTTAGATAAAAACTTTTTAGTCAACATTTAAACAAAAACTAAAGTCACTTCACAGATCGATGCACGCGAGCACACGCGTTCAGATGTTCGCCCCCCGCTCGGTCGTGTTTTCTCGCCTGCTCTGGCTGAGCTATTTTTGCGAATGAAGTTGGGAATCCATCCTCTGCTTTTTGGGGTTAGTGTCGGTGTCAGATTACTGAATGTGGAGGAAAAAGTTCAACCGGAGGATGGACTCACACTCAAGCGCTGCCGTGTGCAGCTGAGCACCACCAGGCGGAAGACGCGTGACAGCGTCACTGCAGTCTGAGAAAAACTAATAGGCCTACAACATACACATTTAGCTGCAAAATCGCTAATTATTTTAAATGAATGCAAATATTTTTTTAAAAATACACATTTAATAGAAAAGAGCAACAAATAATTGTGCTCTATCTATCTGTCTGTCTGTCTGTCTGTCTGTCTGTGTGTGTGT